ACAGAGGACACTGATCTGTCTGTGGAATGAGGGAAGTCACCAGACCACCCAGAAACCACTTGCCCACCTTTATCTGGCCCCTTAGGAAAATACCAGGTGGAAATTATACATTCATGTTCAGTAGTCGACAGAATCTGCAACACTAGTTGCTCCAGCTTTTGTGGCCCTCTGTAGGATCCGGTATCTAAAAACAGGACCTCAGGCCGGGCGTGGTGGCGCACGCCTTTAATCCCAGCACTTGGGAGGCAGAGGCAGGCAGATCTTTGTGAGTTCAAGGCCAGCCTGGTCTACATAGTGAGTCTACATAGTGAGTTCCAGGACAGTTGGGGGTACAGGGAGACCCTGTCTCAAAAGGACCAAAAAAAAGGCCAGGTGCAGAGAAATGTGTCTGGATAAATAAATAAATAAATAAATAAATAAATAAATAAATAAATAAATAAAATAAATACAGGACCTTAAATCAGGTGCTGATAAGTAATTTGAAGTCTATAAGGAATTAATACTGCCCAGTGTGGAAGCACAAACCTGCAATGCCAGCACTTGGAAGGTGGAGGAGGAAGGACCAGGAATTCAAGGTCATCCTCAGCTACATAAGTTGAGGCCAGCCCAGGTTACACAAAACTTTATCTAAAAACAAAATAAAATAATAACAACAGCAAAAGCCAATCCTTTATAATTTACCAAGAAGGTAGTCTCAAACTTACGAGCTCAGCGATCCTCATGTCAGCCTTTTGAGTAGCTGGAACTACAGACATGCACCACCATATCTGACCCAACTATTTCTCTTAACACACTTTAAAAGAGTTGTAATTTCGTGGAGTGAAAAAAATCAGTTTAAGTATCAAGAAAACTTTCTAGACTAATACAGTGAAAACACACTTTGTACAACTACGTAAAATGTAACCAAGATCAGGTAAGAAGCAGACCCCAATAGTCATCACAACTCCAAACAGGCCTTTCTCGTCTCAAAAAAAACACACTCCCCATGGCACTAAGAAAATGCATGCTGCCTATGGATCTAACAACTGGAGAATGAATGAATATATGTTCACAACAGCCAAGTAACTTTAAAAGGGCCTAGCATCACACCAAACCAGTGAAGAATATGATCCAGTCACAGAAAAATGCATGACTGAGAAGATCTGACCAATACATGTCCCAAACTTAACAGTTTCCACACAGCACTTCCTCCCCCATGTGCTGCCCTTTGAACCTGTCTTCAAAACAACTGCACTGTATACCCCATCACCACCTGTCATCCCACAGGCAGGCCTGGAGCATACTTGCACCTGCTGAAGGAGTCATGTCTACACCAGAGTGCCTCAGCATTAACTTGCTCTCCTCATAGAACTGAAAACCACATAAGACTCCGTGTCCACTTCACAGAAGGCACTCCTTCCTTGGAAACAGGAAAGCAGATGCTGGGGATTGCTCTCCTCCAAATATACCACCTCAGACAGGCTTTATCTCTGTAACATTTCCCAGATCATCACAGACTTACCCAACTCTGTCTCCCACCAGGTTCAATCAACTGCCTGGAAACACCACAACCCCAACTCAAGTGGCTCAGAAGATGAAGATACAGGCTGAAAAGGGAGACATACGTCTTCAGGAGCTACCTGTTCCTTTTCCCCAAAACTGTGCTGAAGGCAGCCTAAAGGTCAAGACCTACCCTGAAGATTCAAGGCCTTTTCAGGCCCTGTATCTCTACAGCCCACTGCTAGGATTGTTCTAATAGAATCCATGTCAGAAGCATAAAACAGGGCTATTGAAGTGGCTCAAAGGTTAACAGCATTTGCTCTTTCAGAGGAGAATTTGGTTCCCAGTGGCCATGCCAGGTAGTACACAATTGCCTGTAACTCCAGCTCCAGGGGCTCCAACACCCTCTACTGGACTCTGTGGGTACCTGCACACATATGGCATATTTGCACTAGCGCATGCGCACACACACAATAATTAATATATTAAGTGAATATTTAAAAATAAAGGGGGGGCGCTGGAGAGATGGCTCAGTGGTTAAGAACACTAACTGTTCTTGCAGAAGACCCGGGTTCAAATCCCA